TTTCTTTAGTAATTTAAAACAGTCAAAATAATTCCTTGTCACTTTACTTTGAGAATCGCTGCCAACATCATTGCACAGTTAGCAAACACCAAAAATTCCCAGAAGATGTTTGCAATTTTAAATAATTTTCAACATGCTTTAAGTCGGCAATAAATCGAACGATTTATCGATCGCAGCCCGACTACAATTTTCGCTCGTAGCTGGTGACCTGCAGTAGTTGGCCCAATAAATCGGAAAAACGTCCGTAGTGTAATGCTTCTTCAAAAAAATTTACTGCCACACTCAATTTCTCTAAACGTGCTGATTCTGTCAGAAGTTGAGGTTGAAAATTTCAGGCCTTTATTTTAATTTCGAATTAATTTCTCATTGTTCTTTGGTGTTGATTTTTTGCATTATTTATTTTAAAACATATTCTTATTATCTGCCTATTTTAATAACACTTCAGCCATCTGTTTCTGAAGTAACTTGTATTATTTCCATATAAATTATGAATGTGAAACGAATTAGGCTTCCGCCGGAATTGTATAAAACTGACCAGTTACAAAAATATATATCTGCCGTTAAGATGATGAATTTCTCATTCAACCTAATTGGCAAAATTTGCGTTGATAATATATAATTTTGGGGAGAAGAGAAAATTATTGGAATAATTATTAAGCTGTATTTATAAAGAACCAAACCCGGCTGACGACCATCGATGTCTTGTCTGGTTTTATCCTTCAAAAGACTTGTCATTAAGTTGGTATCTTGTGGGCCTTTTTTAAGTGGATTAACTTTTAAGGTGTATGCTTTTGTTGGGAGTTCACTTCGAATCTTCTTGCGGTGAGAGTGGGCCCAAGGTCAGTAAATTTTGTCTATTGTTAATAGCTTTTTTGTTCTTTCAATCAATTTGAAAAGGAATTTCTGAATTGAAGTCGTTTTGCTGTAGATAATGAGCCTTAATATCAAAATTGCGTCACGTGGTCAGGATTCGTGCAGTACAGTGGAAAATTGCTGTGGGTTTTCCTTTTTACCAATTCTTATGGGTTTCAATGCGATTGATTCGAATCAATCAAACGTATACCATTTGGAATGCAATTTTGCTGGCCAAAGAAAGGTTTCGGCGCTTAGTTTTACCAAATGGCAACAACAATCGATACTGAATTACAATCAACTGTTAAGAGAAAGAATGTTTAATTCGCCACTCCTTTTCTTTGATGATGCCATTTGCAAAGGCCACTTCTCACTAGTGACAACTAATAAATACTTATTAAAATAATTTTCTTTGTGTGTACCATCACTGAACACAATTTTGATGATTTTCCCCATTAAAGGAGGATACCGTACGGTGTGCTGGAACTTTTAAATTAAGCAATTTAAAGGCAGGTGTCGGGATGTATAAAAAGCCAAAAAAGGCACTGGGCCTTCAATATAAGTTTTTATATCGGCCCAGCATACACCGTGACTCAACAATTTTCTTATACGAATGTTTCTGAGAATACCCACCCCGTGTCAAGCCTGATTCCACGCCAAAGAATACTCTTATACAAAGCGCCTTAATAAGGCAATGCGGACTTTGAAATTATGTAAAATTAATTCTTGAAAATGTCGAAAAGTTAACAACCCAAGTATATTCTCATACCATTCTCCCCAGCCAAACTCGCTACACCGAAAGTAAGGATATAGCATTCTTATCACCAACCCTCTTGCGAGAGAGAGGCCTTTTCTTTCCCCTTGATTTTCCATCAGTCCGAGTGTTCTTGCATTAGGGGAGCCGTATGTCATAAACCGTATCTATTATCATTTTCCCTTTATCTCTACTTCGCTTACCCCTAATGCTTGTTTTTTAGATACCATTCATTTATTTTTTCTGTCAAAGTATCCCTCCACTTTATTCTGTTCATGTAAAAAGGGCTTATAGTTTGTTGAAAATGTACAGCGCATTTTCTCCGCCTGCACACAACATCTACTGTGATGTTCAAACAATTGAATTCTTAAGTGTATGCTGTGGGTTTGATGAAACTGTCCGTTGATCGAGTTGAAAAAACCAAAAGAAAATTTCAAAAAAAATGCAATTGAAATGTTTATCATAAACGTGAAAATCAATTAAAATTTGCTTGAGAGATACTTCAATGAGGTGCAAAACACTCAACGTAATCCGTCCAGTTGCGTTAGGTTACGAAGCAACTCAAATGAATTGATTTCGGAATATTTAGGTAAAAAAATCGTCGTTCATCCAAATTGTAACGGGTTATCCAATTTGAGGTTGGGAAAGTTTTTCTTTTAGTTGAAGGTTTGCCATTTTGGAATATGGATCGCTTAACTGTCGAAGAACGCGTAAAAATTATTAAATGTTACTATAAAAATGGTGACTCTGCTGTATCAACGTTTAGGGCTTTACGAGCAGATTACGGTCG